TTTCAACCCTTCTGTGTGTTCCTTTCAACCCTCCTGTGTATTACTTTCAACCCTCCTTTCAACCCTCCTGTGTATTACTTTCAACCCTCCTTTCGACCCTCCTGTGTGTTACTTTCGACCCTCCTTTCAACCCTCCTGTGTGTTATTTTCGACCCTCCTTTCAACTCTCCTGTGTTACTTTCGACTCTCCTTTCAACCCTTCTGTGTGTTACTTTCGACCCTCCTGTGTGTTACTTTCAACCCTCCTTTCAACCCTCCTGTGTGTTACTTTCAATCCTTCTTTCAACCCTCCTGTGTATTACTTTCAACCCTCCTTTCAACCCTCCTGTGTATTACTTTCAATCCTCCTTTCAACCCTCCTGTGTGTTACTTTCAACCCTCCTTTCAACCCTCCTGTGTATTACTTTCAACCCTCCTTTCAACCCTCCTGTGTGTTACTTTCAACCCTCCTTTCAACCCTCCTTTCAACCCTCCTGTGTATTACTTTCAATCCTCCTTTCAACCCTCCTGTGTGTTACTTTCGACCCTCCTGTGTGTTACTTTCAACCCTCCTTTCAACCTTCCTGTGTGTTACTTTCAACCCTCCTTTCAACCCTCCTGTGTGTTACTTTCGACCTTCCTTTCAACCCTCCTGTGTGTTACTTTCGACCCTCCTGTGTGTTACTTTCAACCCTCCTTTCAACCCTCCTGTGTGTTACTTTCGACCTTCCTTTCTACCCTCCTGTGTGTTACTTTCAACTCTCCTTTCAACTCTCCTGTGTGTTACTTTTAACCCTCCTTTCAACCCTCGTGTGTTACTTTCGACCTTCCTTTCAACCCTCCTGTGTGTTACTTTCGACCTTCCTTTCTACCCTCCTGTGTGTTACTTTCAACCCTCCTTTCTACCCTTCTGTGTGTTACTTTCAACCCTCCTTTCAACCCTCGTGTGTGTTACTTTCGACCCTCCTGTGTGTTACTTTCAACCCTCCTTTCAACCCTCCTGTGTGTTACTTTCAACCCTCCTTTCAACCCTCCTGTGTGTTACTGTCAATCCTCCTTTCAACCCTCCTGTGTGTTACTTTCGACCCTCCTGTGTGTTACTTTCAACCCTCCTTTCAACCCTCCTGTGTGTTACTTTCGACCTTCCTTTCTACCCTCCTGTGTGTTACTTTCAACTCTCCTTTCAACCCTCCTGTGTGTTACTTTTAACCCTCCTTTCAACCCTCGTGTGTTACTTTCGACCTTCCTTTCAACCCTCCTGTGTGTTACTTTCAACCCTCCTTTCAACCCTCCTGTGTATTACTTTCAATCCTCCTTTCAACCCTCCTGTGTGTTACTTTCGACCCTCCTGTGTGTTACTTTCAACCCTCCTTTCAACCCTCCTGTGTATTACTTTCAACCCTCCTTTCTACCCTCCTGTGTGTTACTGTCAATCCTCCTTTCAACCCTTCTTTGTGTTACTTTCAACCCTCCTGTGTTACTTTCAATCCTCCTTTCAACCCTTCTGTGTGTTACTTTCGACCTTCCTTTCAACCCTCCTGTGTGTTACTTTCGACCCTCCTGTGTGTTACTTTCAACCCTCCTGTGTGTTACTTTCATCCCTCCTGTTACTTTCGACTCTCCTTTCAACCTTTCTGAGTGTTTCTTTCAACCCTCCTGTGTATTCCTTTCAACCCTCCTGTGTATTACTTTCGACCTTCCTTTCAACCCTCCTTTCAACCCTCCTGTGTATTACTTTCAATCCTCCTTTCGACCCTCCTGTGTGTTACTTTCGACCCTCCTTTCAACCCTCCTGTGTGTTATTTTCGACCCTCCTTTCAACTCTCCTGTGTGTTTCTTTCGACCCTCCTGTGCGTTACTTTCAACCCTCCTTTCAACCCTCCTGTGTGTTACTTTCGACCCTTCTGTGTGTTACTTTCGACCTTCCTTTCAACCCTCCTGTGTGTTACTTTCGACCCTCCTGTGTGTCACTTTCGACTCTCCTTTCAACTCTCCTGTGTGTTACTTTCGACCCTCCTTTCAACCCTCCTGTGTGTTACTTTCAACCTTCCTGTGTGTTACTTTCAACCTTCCTGTGTGTTACTTTCGACCCCCCTTACTACTGCTCCTATTCTGTCCTCTGCAAATCCTTTTCAGTTGTGTTCAGATAGGCTGCACAGCAGTCTTTCCCGTGGACACTTGGACTTCCTTTATTATTTTCAGGGCGAATCCTGGGTGGAGAGTTCCCTGTCGGAGGTAGGCTTCTAGGGCCCCAGAAGACAGCTCAGGTTAAGCTTTGTGTAGGCAGGACCTGGGGAAGTGGTAATTCTTTTGAACTTTTGACATCCTGTTTTTGAGATATGTTAAAACACTTGTTTTTTTTCCAAGAAAGGGAAATTTAATCTACACTTAAATTTACTTTAACTACCTTTGAAGTTTTACTTTAGTTTAAAGTTTCTTTACTCACCATAGTTGCGTATATTTTTGATATGAAAAAAACCCCATTTCTTGTTTTTTGTCAATCTCGCTTCATATTAAAGGGGCAATATGTAGTTTTCAGCGGCCACTAGTGGTGTGGTTTTTAAATTGCAACCTGGTGTATGCTTGTATGCATGCTCACACTTCTGACACACCAGGAAAAAGCTTCACACAACACGCTGGAAACTCAGGCAAACTCCCACTGCAACCTTAATATTTTTATGAGCTTGACTACTCCATGCTCATTTCATGATAACGTTGCATTTAATGAATTTAGCAATATGTCAGTGTTAGCTTGCCTTTTTAATAACTGTTTGTGTAACGTTATCTTTCACAGGAGGCTCAGCAATGTGAGCACAACTAAATTTATTAGAAATGGTTAGTGAGCGGGAATGAATATTATAAATGTGATTATTGCCACACTTTATATCAGTTTGACTGCAGTAAGTAAGGGTACTACAGTGGATGAGCCTTCCACTGTGGTGTTTTCCTGCACCATTATGTTGCATTATCTTAACAGTTTAATGTGTTGAAAGGTTTCAGCATGCAATCACAGCCAATGGATTTCCCGGAAAATCTGACCCGGAGTCTTCACATAGGAATAGGCCTGCAGGCCGTCAGAGGAAACAGAGAAACCTGGCAAGTGGATAATTTTTATGTGAGGTCACAACCTTTTCACACATATGTTGAGTATTTTTTGGTATCCTAATTTTTGAATCATCATTATACATTATGTTATACACGATGAGTCTGCATGATGAGTTGTTTCTCCAATCTTATATATGCAAATGTATACAAAGATTTAAATCAATCACTCTGTATAATGATTTTTGTTTTAACCAAAGACCATAATTGTGATGAGTCTACACTCCAAGATATAAAAGGCCTAGGACCAAAGACCATTGCATTAATTGTTGACATGCATGGAGAAAAGGATCCAGGTGCAGGAGGGAGGATTTGTGACCATGAGTGCAAATTTTTATCTTTTGACACGAATCCAAATTATTATCTGTGGACATGAGTGCAGGGATGTATGTGTTACAAGAGTGATCCGCATCAAGCCTGAGCGTAGGAGAGAGGTTATTACCACCCACCAAAGGAGGAGAGTATACACATGCATGTGGACAAATGGAGGTCAGAAGATAAGTAAACACCACCAGCAAAAGGGAGATAAGGAGCCTTTTGTGGTAAGAATGTCAGTCCAAAGAGGCCACCTGCATGAAAAAATTACTTTTCCTTGGAAACCTTGGAAAGTCCCTAAAATTCCCTGGAAATCACTAGGATTTTACTATGAGCAACCTTTGATTATGTTTTTGTCTTGTTAAAGAAAAAAACCCTGAACAAACAAAGTTTTGTTAAAGTTATCCAAACGTGTACAGAGTATAAGAGCTACTAGCAGACATCTGTTACTGGACGAAGGACCAACAGCCTGCTGTAAGAAACTGTTAATAGACAGGTTGCATAAGACCTCATCAGTCACTGTTAACAGCCTCAGGTGACCTGCTTTCACGACCGACTTTCCTGTAACACCGTTTTCCTGTGTTTTCCAACCAGCTCACATGACATCAACGGCAACCATTGTCATACACTCTTACATACCCACAGTTGTTGTGTTTTTTCTAATGACAGACAGGTGACTTCATGAACAAATATTATTTATTTAATTTCAGCGTTGTTTTGATTTTCCCATGTTTTAATGTTCATTGACACTGAATGTATCGGTAGCCATGCTTTTGACCAGACAAAAATCTTGTCACAAATTCCCTCACATTAACTTCAGCACCTCAGATAAAGTGCAGCTCACAGTCCCAAACAGAGGACATCTGTGCCTCAGATTTTAGATGTTTATTTAAAAAAAAACCTCTTTCAGTTAGTTACTCACAGTGCATCTTGCCGATGTCGCATCAGCTGGGTGGAGTTCACTCGCCCCGACTCGTTATTCATTTTACACATTTGTTTTTCACTGCGTGAGAAAATTGATGTGTAGCGTAAGAGCGTGTGAAAATTGTCAATTGCCTGAGTCCAACGCTCGATGCCAGACAGTTGGCAGCTCGGGTGTTAAAGGTTATTAAGCAAGTTTAGCTTTGCTAGTCTGCCTAACTGTTAGCTCCTCACCTCCTCCTGTCATACATGGGCTACATGGTGCTTCTTAACACTGTATTTGGCCAGAAATTTGTCGTCCCTATCATTTTATTTTCCTCACTGTGTTTTGGCTTTTCTTTTTCTGGGCCCCTGACAGGCTGCAGTGTTGTTTACAGTGACTTTCTTTACATATGCATGCTCTGCACATCTGGCCAAATGTTTCGACCATACCATTCACATAACAGCGGGGGTGTGTTATCAGATGACGTATGAAGTATGAAATATGTTGTAATGATAATAATACATTTATTTATCATGTAAATACATCTAAAAGGTTTCCTTATTCATATTAGACTGTAAGTAAAGTATTGTCCTTGATCCGATTTACGGGTCAACCATAGACCTTTGCATGGACCCCCTGGGCCTTGGGCCGGGGTTATCTGTGCCCTTTGATCAACCCTGACGACAGGTCTGGTTATCAATTAGCTTTCTGTTGACAAATGCCAAAGTGTTGGCAGTCATGTTAAGCAAGAAACCACACAAATTCTGATAAGGAAATTTAAAGATGAAGAGGAAACTGCACATCTGACCGGCAGAAGAGAGCTATATAAGATTAAGCAAGTAAATGAAGCTAGAATGCTCATATGGACAACACAACAACTGGACATGGAGCACGTACTGGTGGTGTTCATGTTGCTCTGGAGCTCAGGTAGGACTTCAGGACAGTCTTTTTAGCCTCAGTGACTGCTGCTACAGAATGAGTTTGGTTTGACTGGCATGAACTTTATTTAAACCAATATTTTAAATTAAAATCAAGCTAGGTTAGAAAGAAATTTGGGGAAATGACAGGGGGAAAGGGATCTTGGATCTCAGACATTTCTAAAGAACCGTGATGAGACATAAATGTGTCATAGATGTATGATTGGTTTTATCTTATTTAAATGTTCTGTGGTTCTTAGGTTATTGATTACCATGAATGCAATCATTTGCCTTGTTTTCCCTTTTTGCAGAAAAAAATTTAATAGATTTTTTCATGACTCTCCCCAGGTCTCCAGGGGAGGAAGATCACACTTTTAAAGGTAAACAGAGAAAGTAGAAATATATTTACACAAGAGATTATTTCACTAATGAAACTCTTACCTGTGTTAGAGACTGATGATATCCGCTTGGTGGGAGGATCCAGCCGCTGTTCTGGTTTGCTGCAGGTGAAACGCCAGGGAGCTTGGAGACAGGAGGATGACCGTGGCTGGGACCTGAAGTTAGCAGATGAAGTTTGTAGACATCTGGACTGTGGTTCTGTGGTTCGGGCTTCCTCAAGTTTTCAAAAACCTTCATGGAGAATCAATCCTTCCTGTATTAATTTAAAATCTAGACCGAGGAAATGTTTGACAAAAAGGTCCTCACATCTTCTTACCAGTTTGGAGATCACCTGCTCAGGTAACGCCATCCGTAGCCAAAAAACAAAGACACAACTCCCAGAAGCTCAGAGAATGATAGGATTCCATTTAACCGCTAACTGGATTTAGTGTCATTTGCAAAGTTATTAAAATAAATTTACATTAAATTATATAAATTAACATTAACAAAGATGTTATTTTAGGATGTTATTTTGCAGATTTTTGTTTATTGTGTAATTTCTGGGCACCCTAGTATATTTTACTATAGTACATGTTTACATCTTGGTCATCTCTGTAATACATTGGGTTGCGATATATCCACTAACTGATATTGATTTGAATTTGCTGTCTGATGTGTCAACAAGAAAAAAGAAAATTATTATTGTTTATTTAATTGTTATTATAGATTCCTCAGGAAAGATGTACCTCTGCTCTATATTGTGAAGTCTATCAAATGAAATGGTTACACCTATATTAGACTGGTATGTTTAAAATTTACAGTGTTGATCTGCCACTAAAGGGACTCCTAACTGTTATGTCTCCTAACATGTCCCACCCAGCTTTTCCAGAACTGTGAAAAGCTGGGTGGGACAGATGAGTCTTACAAATGGGAATAAGACCAAAGAGATCTTGAGAGAAACGTTAAATCTTGCCTTCATTCTCACCTCTGTACACCTTGCCATCCATGTGTCATTGTTAGTTACAGCTTTACTATTCCAAGTTAAATTGGAACAAGTTACAAAATTGTCAGATGTATCCCTCCAAATTGTGACGTTGGAAAAGCGTGGGAAGAGGGAGTTTCAGACACTGATCGACATCACTGCAAGCACTCAGTTTGAGGTAAAATATTAAGTCTTTAGAGTTGACACTACAGGTGTCTAAAACCCCTTTTACACTGACTCGCTTTTAGCCCGCCGTCCTCTGTTTTCCATTGCAGCTCACCAAAATGGACAGTTGAAGACTGGAAAAATGTTGCTGGTCTGATGAGTCTCGATTTCTGTTGAGACATTCAGATGGTAGAGTCAGAATTTGGCGTAAACAGAATGAGAACATGGATCCATCATGCCTTGTTACCACTGTGCAGGCTGCTGGTGGTGGTGTAATGGTGTGGGGGATGTTTTCTTGGCACACTTTAGGCCCCTTAGTGCCAATTGGGCATGGTTTAAATGCCACGTCCTACCTGAGCATTGTTTCTGACCATGTCCATCCCTTTATGACCACCATGTACCCATCCTCTGATGGCTACTTCCAGCAGGATAATGCACCATGTCACAAAGCTCCAATCATTTCAAATTGGTTTCTTGAACATGACAATGACTTCACTGTACTAAAATGGCCCCCACAGTCACCAGATCTCAACCCAATAGAGCATCTTTGGGATGTGGTGGAACGGGAGCTTCGTGCCCTGGATGTGCATCCCACAAATCTCCATCAACTGCAAGATGCTATCCATCAATATGGGCCAACATTTCTAAAGAATGCTTTCAGCACCTTGTTGAATCAATGCCACGAATTAAGGCAGTTCTGAAGTGAAAGGGGGTCAAACACAGTATTAGTATGGTGTTCCTAATAATCCTTTAGGTGAGTATAAACCTTTCTGGGACAAAGTGCAGGAAAGCTCAGGAACAGTTCTCAAAAACATGCACAGACAACAAGGACTGACTGGCATTATGACTGGCATACACTGTAGGACCACTTCATTATATGTAATGTTTTATTTTGCCATGCCTAAACTCATCAAATTCAACTCTCTGCTGTGTTTCTGTGTCTCTCGCTCTCTTCCTCTTCAGACTCTGTCAGGCTGGTTAATGGGACTAGTCTGTGTTCAGGCAGACTGGAGGTGAAGTCTAACCAGTGTGGTCCTCAGTGTGTGAAGATGACTTTAACCAGCAGATGCAGAGGTGGTCTGTAGGGAGCTTGGCTGTGGGCTCCTTCAGTCCTCCAGGGGGCGCTCTATGCAGGAGTAGAGGGGCCCATGAGGACCAAAGAGTTCCAGTGTGAAGGCCATGAGTCTGCTCTCCTGGATTGTCAGATTGACAGCTCAGGCTCAGCTAGAGACACCTGCTCATCTGGCAAAGCTGTTGAACTCACCTGCTCAGGTAGGAGAGGAGCTGCAGCTTTGTTTTGGACTGATTTTCTATTTAATAAATGTGACTTCATCTATTTTTAATAATTACTCTCGTCTGCCCAGAGCCCGATAATGTCCGGTTGGTGGGAGGATCCACTCGCTGTGCTGGTGAACTGGAGGTGAAACAACAGGAAGAGTGGGAAAAGGTGGACGACCAAACGTCTGGCTGGAATCTAAAGACAGCAGATGTTGTGTGTGAACAACTGGACTGCGGCTCTGCTGTTTCTACAGGGAAGAGAACGATTAGCCAGTACAGAACAATATGGAGGATTGGATCAACTTGTCTTCAGTCCGAATCTGCAGTTAGAGAATGTTTATTTACAAAGCTTGACACTTCACTTTCCAACCTGGAGATCAAGTGCTCAGGTAACTCCAGAAATACCTCAACTATAACAATAATCTTTCTTAGTCTTTCTTTATTTGGTGACGGTTTTGTAAAGTAAAAATCCAAATGAGGTACCATCCAACCTAAAGTAGATCAAGAATAAGTTCTGTTAAGCTCAGTTTTGCATTCCACCTGTGTGCCACATTGTTACAGGCCCACGCAGCAAGGCATAAATGCATAGAAAATGAAAAGGCGGCCACAAATGCACACTGACGCCATCTTTAAAAAAGAGTTATTGAAAGCTTCATTCTTTTCACATTTTTATTTACAGCATTATATGTTGATATTAGATCATAATAGGCTGTATATTAACTTACTAGGAGAGAAACTGTAGTTCTATGTAAAATCAGAACTGGCCTGTAGCTGGAAAGAATAGGTAAAAGACAGGGATGTACTGGGACTGAAATTCAGCCCGGGACTTTGAGATGGAGAGCCTTTTATGCGAGCGAGGTGGGGAGCGGGGCGTGGTGAAAAATGACTTGTATATAGTCAGTTTCATTATGATAAAGACCTTCAAGAAACTTTTGTGACACCCGCCTCTTAAGTTTGTATAAGCACAAGGCACCGCTGCACTGAACAAGACCACTTAGCCAAGCCTGAGTCCATCAGAAATCTAAAATAGTTAATATAATCAAATTACAATACAGTCCCATAAAATAGAGCAGTGTGTATGCATAAAAATCTAATTCCTCATCTTCAGCTCTGAGTAGGCCTATCCCTGGCTCAGCTCCCCTGTGCTAGACCCTGACTCTGCTTGTACTGATTGTGCAGCTACATATGAATGTTAAGAACATCCCAGCAACCCAGCCCTGCACATGTACCCCCCTGTACCTGTCAAGAAATTCCCCTACAGCCTTCTTCAATGCAGTAACACAAGTTCTAAAAGTTCTATGTTGACATTTTCCTTACATGCTACACATCCAAAGAATTTTGTAGCTGTGTGTTGTTATTTATTTTGTGTTGCTCTAAATTCAAACTCTCTGTCTGCATGTTTTACTCTCTCTCCCTGTCGTCCTCTTCAGGACCTGTCAGGCTGGTTAATGGACTAGTCCATGTTCGGCAGACTGGAGGTGAAGTCTAACCAGTCGTGGTCCTCAATGTGTGAAGATGACTTTGACCAGCAGGATGCAGAAGTGGTCTGCAGGGAGCTTGGCTGTGGGCTCCTTCAGTCCTCCAGGGGGCGCTGTATGGAGAAGCAGGGCCCCCAGTGTGGTCAAAAGAGTTCCAGTGTGGAGGCCATGAGTCTGCTCTCCGGGACTGTGGAAGCTCAGGCTCAGCTAGAGACACCTGCTCATCTGGCAAGCTGTTGAACTCACATGTTCAGGTAGGAGAAGATCTGCTGCTTTGATTTGGTGTAATCTCTGTTGTAATGCAAGTTACTTTACTTCTTTAGCTAATTACTCTCTTGTATCTGTTCAGAGCCTGATGACGTCCGGTTGGTTGGAGGGGCCAGCCGCTGTGTCGGTAGACTTGAGATGAAACGGAAGGGAGAGTGGAGACCAGTAGCTGAGTACTTCCTTAACTGGAACCTGTTGTCCGCAGCTTTAGTTGTAGGCAGCTGGACTGTGGCTCTGCTCTTTCAGCAGAAAGAGTTATAAGTGATGAATTATACAAACGAGAACCATGGATAATTGCACCTTCCTGTGGTTCGTCTGAGTCTGTAATCAGAGAATGTGATTTATTATCGCTCGGGTATGGTTCTAATAGAAGGGTTCTAAGCCTGGAAGTCACCTGCTCAGGTAACGGCATCAATGAAACACAGGAATCCTTATAATCTCTTACCTGCCTGTTCATTTTTAAACTAAGTCATCTGAATAAGATTTCAATTTATCCATTATCAATATCTCCTGCTAATAAACAAATCTTGTCATCGTACTGTGTTCAGTGTTCGCTTTGACAAAACAAATGAAGATGAGGAATTTTATTTTTCTTAAATGCAGACTAAATGTTTCATCTCCCACCGTGTTCACAGATATTCTGGCTCAGCCAAACATCTCCTTCTCTGCTACACTGACGGGGATTCTGAGGCCAAGCAGCAGGGGCTTCAGGTGCTCATGGGCTCCAACTTCACCATCAGCTGCTCATCCTGCCACAGTATCCAGGAGGCTCCTTCCAGCTTATCTTCACCAACTCCAACACAACACAGAACTACACCCTGCCAGCTGTCAATCACACTGCCCATTTCCTGTTCTCTGCTGCAGACCACCACACAAGGGAACTACAGCTGTTTATCACATCTATGTTTTCTCCCATAACTTTCTTCTGAGAGCCAGCCACTCCATCACTGTCTCAGGTAACTTCTTAGACAATCTGGGCCCAATAGGGAAATGTGACACTGAAAGGCTAGAAAGTACTACTGTATTATCTTACAGACTAATCTAATGGATAAGGGACATGGAAACAGTAACTACGTATAAAGTTCATAAAAGTTTGATTGCCGGAGTGCAGATAAGTTGAGTGCATTTCAACAGGACAATACAACACAATTTAGTTTTGGTTTATAGATTATCTGCTTATTTGAGAACATACAATACAGAACAATTATTATACAATTATTTGACTGCATGAAAATATATTCAGTGATAATGAGACACCAAGTCTTCACTTCCATCCAGAAAACCAGCAGTCTAACGATTTTAATTTTTTGTCCATGACACACAAGACAGAGGATAAGGAGAGCAACTTTGTGAGGAACTCAAACGCTAAAAGTCAGCAAAAACAAGATTTATAGCATCAATTCCAACTGAAATGAACTTGCTTTTTTTTCGCTATTTGCTCTATACAGATGAGTATTAGGGCCACATGTGAAAATGTATTTGAGCTCTGAGTCTATCTCAGAATTTAGACTTAGACTCAGAGCTCAAAGACACTTTTCACATGTGGCCTCTCCTCTTCTGTTGCCCGTGAATAAAATGTCCTGTGTTCTCCTTGGGAGATATACATATCTATACAGCCAGTCAAATCAGATG